TAGCTGCCCTACAGCCACCCCATAACCCCCCATGTAGAGCAGGTCCCGCTTGGCAATGGGGACACAGCGGTCTGGGAGCACCTCCATCATCCCTGTGGGGTTACAGAGCTATGGGGTGCCCCATAGACACCCTACAGGCACCCCATAGCTGCCCTACAGCCACCCCATAACCCCCCATGTAGAGGAGCTCCCGCTTGGCAATGGGGACACAACGGTCTGGGAGCACCTCCATCATCCCTGTGGGGTGTGGGGGGTTATGGGGCGCCCCATAGCTGCCCTATAGTCACCCCATAACTGCCCCATAACCCCCCATGTAGAGCAGCTCCCGCTTGGCAATGGGGACACAGCGGTCTGGGAGCACCTCCATCATCCCTGTGGGGTGTGAGGGGTTATGGGGCACATGTGGGATGTGTGGGGTGTGGGGTTATGGGGTGTGTGGGGTGTGTGGGGTTATGGGGCACGTGTGGGATTGGGGGTGGTTGTGGGGCTGGGGGGAGTTTGGGGATCTGTGGCTCAGTCATTGGTCAGGGCTCTATGGGGTCAGAGCTTTATGGGGCAGGGATCTATGGGGTCAGAGCTCTATGGGGATCTATGGGACAGGGATCTATAGGGCAGCGATCTATGGGGCAGGGATCTATGGGGCAGGGATTTATGGGCTCAGAGCTCTATGGGGCAGGGATCTATGGGCTCAGAGCTCTCTGGGGATTTATGGGGCAGCGATCTATGGGGCAGGGATCTATGGGGCAGCGATCTATGGAGTCAGAGCTCTATGGGGATTTATGGGTTCAGGGATCTATGGAGCAGGGATCTATGGGGTCACAGCTCTATGGGGATCTATGGGTCAGCGATCTATGGGGCAGGGATCTATGGGGCAGCCCCATACCCAGCAGGTCCAGCGAGCTCTGGTGGTTGCTGACCACCACGTAGGGCTGCCGTGGGGGGAAGTTGTGGGTCCCCCTGACCTCCATGCGGATCCCATAGAGCCTCTTGACGTGCTGCATCAACCCCCGGATGATCCTGGGGGGAAAGGGGGGGCTCAGCCCCATAGCGGCCCCAAATCACCCCATAGCGACCC